CCCATGAACCTCCAAGTAGGAACCTGATTAAGAAACCCTGGCCCCAAGAACCCCCCACAAAAAAACCCAATAAAGAGCACCTGATTAAGAAACCCTGGCCCTATAACCCCAATATATTAGGGCTCATATTAAGCACCCCAATAAAGAGCCAGGGTTTCTTAATCAGGTTCCTACATCACACGGCTGACGCAAAGGGCGACAGAGGGAAGACTCTGGGGAGAGAGAAAGTGATGGGTCGATAGATTCCGACACCCACAGGCCCCATAGTAGTTCCTTTTTGGGGGTTACCTTATAGGATTCTATATATGAACCCCAAAAAGGAACTACTTTAGGGCCTATGGGTAGATGGATGGAGAGATGGATAGGATGGAAGCCATGCAGGCAACATGTGACGCAGCACAGAAACATGTGCATTGCCTCCTGCAGCTGCACACCTGCGCATGGTTTACGTCTCATCTCAGGCAGCGTCAGAGACTTCTGTGCGGGCACATGTTGACAAGGCGTAGGTTGAAGAACTGAGACCCCGCAGCCCTACATGGCTGTCTGCCGTCCGCTCTCTGTCAGCAGTGTCTTTGCCAAGCTGTAATGCAACACTTCGTCGAGATACCTGTGAAGGCTCTCGGAGGGAGGTTGCTGGTGTGGTGAAAGGGTCTGAGGGGTCTGTGGCTGGTGTGGCTGTGGCGGTCTGCCTTGGCTGCTTCTTGGGCGATCCGGGCTTGCCTGTTTGCATTGGGTTGGTCTGATCACGATATCTCTGTCTCTCTTCTGGTGTCTCTGTCTCTTCAGCTGAAAAGCACCGGGCCACCTTGCAGTTTAGCCTTCCGAAAGTTTGCACCGGAGAGGTTGCAGCTGAGTCCTTCGATCAAGCCAGCACAGGGTCAAGCCCAAGCACTGGGAATGCTGCCAGCACAAAAGAGTTCTCAAGCATGCATCCTACAGAGACATTACCTGTCCTGCGGCATCTGTGAGGTCTGCACCCGTCAGCAACGCCCTTGGAAACTGTACACCTGCATGGGCCAAGGCGAAACGCTTTGGGTGGCAGAGCAGATCGGAAGCCAAAAGTGCGGCCTGCCAAGCTTGCCGCCCGCAACGTTGCATCCGTCAATTCGGCCTCCTCAAAGCTTGCTTTGGCCAGCTTGGTGGAGTCGAGATTTGCACTGCGCCTTTGGTGCGCACTGGCTTTTGAGAGGCTCATCTTTCATCTTTCAGCTTGGGCACAGCGTGGCATTGGCGAACGATGCACTCTCACAACATGCTTCCCGAAGGTCTACTCCTTGCAAGTTCCTTGGATCGCTGCACAACGAATGTGATGCCAGCGCTCGATCACAAAATGGCAATCCAAGCCGCGCTTCTTGCGACTGCACTCCGGCTAGGTTTGCTTTTTGCATCTTGGCTCCTGATGCCAGGAGCAGAAAGCGGAACTTCAGGGACCGCATGCCATGCCAACAGGTGATGTTCTAATAGAAACCACCGAAGTTCAGGTCCTTGCAGTTGTGCACATTTCATGCTTGCCCCAGAGAGCTTTGCAGCAACAAGCCGCGCAGCTGCCAGTGATGCTTGCTCCAGGTTCGCACCTCAAGAGCTCCCAGAACCCTAAACCCTAAACCGGTTTAGGGTGTAGGGTTTAGGGTTCGGTTTAGGGTTTAGGGTTTTTTTCCTCCTTAGGGTTTAGGGTTTAGGATTTAGGGTTTAGGAGATTCTGGTAGCTGAACGAACTGAACCCAACCCGAGCTCACAAACCACTTGCAAGTGCCAGGCACCCTCGAGTTCTGCAGCTTCTGCTTCCAGGTCGCGAAAGCAGGTCTGTGCAGGGTTTTGCTTGCAGGGGAGCACAGCCAATGCCAAACACATTCAAACATGTCTGGTTGCAGAGCCTCTCAATCGCAGATCTCTAAATTGGGGCAAGCCATTTCCAAAACAAGCTAACTGACGCGGTGCATGTGAAGAAGGGAGGCGGCAGAGGTGAGGCATGCTGTCAGTGTACGCGTCAGCGACAGCATGCGCTAACGAGAGCCGGTGAGTGCGGTCTGGGTCACTGGCTAAGAATTTCATAAGATGAAAGAACGAAGGTCAAACACTGCAAGCCAGGCCATCGGGTCGAGTGCCTGAATCACACGAACAAGTCAATGAATGAGGCACTTGCCTGAACACGGCTCTAGATTTTCTCTTCCAGCGTTCATCCGACCCGCCGCCCCTGCTGCCGCACTGCCCCCGCCCCATGCAACAGCAGATGTGCTACGCCACTTTCACAACCTCGTCTGCAGCCACTGCAGCAGCAAGACTAGCTTAACTAGCTATATTGACTATGTTGTGACTATTTCAAGCACTAGCTCCGCCGGTGTTCCCAACACTCAATCTTCGCTCCCTTTGCGGTCTTTCAGCAACAGAGACGGACGTACCAAGCCACCGATACTCCTCGACTCACCACACCCGGATGTCGCCAGCCCAGTCCGTGGGCAACTGTGGCTTGGACTCCGCTCCACACTCGGCGTGATTCATCACAGAGATCAACATCGTTAACCGGGGCACACCGTTTGTGCTTCGCCGAGTTTTGTGTGTGTGTGTGTGTACGTGTGTGTGGCAATGCGCCAACATCCGAACATTGGATGGTGCTGCAAATGACATCCCTGGAGGCCGATGGGTGGAAGCTGCACCCGAATGGGCATGCAGTCTAGCCTAGCCCCGTGGCTGCGCGTAAACAGAACTCTCATGAAAACCAGCACACGTATGTGCACAAGATTTTCACAAGCGCGAGATTACGGCCATGTTTTCAACATCAGGGCACGAACTTGTTGCTGGGATAGGTTCGGCCCTGTGCAGGCCTGGGCCAAATCTGCTGAGGGCAGGCGCGCCCTTCTGAGCACGGTGCCCTGGCCGCGTGCTTCCCGCAGTTGGGCCGAGCGAAGAAAGGCGCAGCTGAAGCTCGTTCCATCCAAGCAAGCATTCACGAAGGACGGCGACACCTGTATAATCACGAGATACAGAAACTTTGCACCAATGGCTCCTGTCCGTACAGACTCAATCAAAGACAAGTTGCTCCCGTCGAATTCTGCAAGGTTGCATTCTTGAGGCAACTCCGTGAGAAGTTTGTTTGATCCAAGTGTGTGTCACGCAGGTTTGCTCCGGAGAGGTCTGCCGAGTCCAGGATTGCACCGTCCAACACAGCACCTGACATATCGGCGAAAGTCAAGTCCGCGCCGTTGAGTTTGACCTCCTTTACCAAGGCTTTCCCAAAGAAGGCTCCGCTCAGCGAGCTCCCAGTCAAATCTGCGCTGGAAAGGTCTGCTGCCTCCCACCGTGAGCCGCCGGCAGCCAAGCCATAGAGAATGGCCCTGGGCAAGAAATCTCCGATGACAAGCTGCGACCAGACGAACACCAGGGCAGAGTATGCTTGCTTCTCTGGCTACAAGTATGGTATCCTAAACCCTAAACCCTAAACCCTGTATGTTCTGTGCTGTCGACAGTTTTGATTCCAAGTCCGGGCCCTCGAAGGCACACGTGGTCGAAGTTGGTCTGCTTGGCACTGGAAGCGGCAAGCTTCACGGCTTCGAGATTGGCGCCATTCAGTTGCGCCTCGTCTAAGGCAGCGCCTGCGGGATTTCACGGAAGAGATGGCTGTAATCACTGTGTCATCAATGTAGTTCACCCGAATTCCTATACTTCTATGAGATTCAGCCACGGAAGGTCCACCTGACAGATCCCGACAGGCACCTTCAGCCGAGAGCCGTGCTAGGTTGGAGTTGTGCAGCTTGGCTTTCTGTAGTCCGATACCTTTCTTAAGCGAAACCCTTTGCAGACATCACCTTTTGCGAACGCAAGACTCGTAGCAGTCTCACAACTGCTGCTGTGTTCATCCAAGCTACCTGCGGCATTTGCATCTGAGAAGTCGCACTGCGAAAGGTCCGATTTGGTCATGAGTGCACCGCGCAAGTCCGACTTGTGAAATGCAGTGCCTGATATATGAGCCTTGGCAGTGCTTCCCGAACGTGCTGTCCGGACGGTGTCATTTGCGTTATCAGGCCATGTGTCGCGGGCGATTTGATTGCAAACACGTCACTGTAGCTAATGCAAGCCCTGGGCCCTAATCACCAAGAGCCCGAAATCCCGAATCGCGACCGTTTTGAACTTTAAACATCTTTGAACCACCCAGCCAAGGATTCGAAAGACAAGATAACCTTTCGTTTCAATCGGGACTGTTTTTGGAATGCTGACGATCGAGCTCAGTGTTCGGGAAAGTTGCCGGAATAGACCGGGGTATGTGGTGTAGGGTTTGCTAGGCAGTCAACAAAGCGCATATTTTGCCGTTCATCGTGTTTTGCCTGGCTAGGACGAACCTACGATGCAGCGTTCATCGTGTTAAGAGCCAATCTTGTGGCCAAGATGCTTCTTCGAAGCTGCTCTGCCGCAAGTCCTTGTGCTGTGCCGTGAAGTCTCAGCACGGATTGCCAACTGGCTTGCAGCGTTCATCTGATGATCAACTGAGAATGCTGCACATGTGTACATGTGTATATGTATATATACGACGTCTATACATACATTGTATCTAACATTATCATGAACTGCAAGTCGCAGCACTCATCAATGAAGTCTCTGTCCAGTGAAAACCCTGATCAATGCCCCTCCTCCTTGATGTTCTGGGTTATAGTAGGGATGCTAATGGTCCAAACATGGAAGTTACACAAAAAGTTGACTCATCATCGGTCTGAATTATGTACTGTTTCGCATTGTTTTGCTGTGGAAGATGAGGAGGCTCCACCGTGTTCACAAAATTGATCCCAACAACTGCAAAGCGTCCGTCTCCGCGAAAACTGACGCATCCACCTTAGCATCGTCGAACGAAGTTCCGAGAAGCTGAGCCGTGGCCAAACTGACCTCGGCTGCATGGCGGAAGCTGAACTGCTTTGACAGCCCTCGTCTTGGCTTCCAAAGTAATCTGAAAATCTGTGGTGTCTCCAATTGCCGTACAGGGACGTTTGTCAGCTTGCTACTTCTGCATAAGGCTCGTGTCAAGTTGGCTCCTTTTGGCGGCACCAAGGTTTCAGATGCAAACGACACAAGGCCACAGTCCGTCTCCCTGACCGCCCTGGCCTGTCAGATCTACGGCTTCCAACTGTGCACCACATAGGTTAGACTCTGCAGCATAGCTGTGCGCGAGAACCGCATTCTTGATTACAGCCTCCATGCAGGGGCAGATGCATAATGAGTTAAAGTAGGGCTATGCCGCACACGAAACAGTGTCAACAGCAGGCCACCTTCATCAACGATGCCTTTCCCAGCTTGGCGCGCAGCGCATGAGAGTCCACGAGCGTGATGGAGCGCAAGTCCTCGTGGCCAACTTTGGACTTCAGAGTTTGGATGTCCAGCGATTCTGGACTTCCATAGCTGCGGACACTCAAAATGCACATGGCAGCACGACATCCGTCCGCAGCGCTGAGGTCAACGTCGTCAAGGTTACATTCTTCGAGGCGTGTGGACCGCAGGCTGGCAGACCTCAGAGGGGTTCAGAGCTCAGCCGTGCCTGCTTGGACGCAGCGACCGCGGCCTAAGCTTCGCCCGGAGGAGGTTGGCTTTCGACAGGACGGCCCCATCCAGGATGCAGCCAGTCATGTCAGCATCCTGTTTTTTTCTAGAGTGGGAAGCAATCCCCCAACTACGGCCACGCTTGTCTCAAGACTTTTATGACATCTTTATGCCCAACGTCCTCGAAGTTGGACCCTTCGAGTCTGCTGTTGGCCAAGACAGCACGTTGGAGGCTGGCATGCTGGAAGTTGGCCCGGCTAAGGTTCGACGTCCGCATGGAGACACCTTGGTGATCTTCCAGCAGCATCCAGCAGCCCACGTGCCGATTTCGCTGCTCTGTACTGCCCAAGGCACCATTAAGGCTTGCGTCAGTAAAGTTCGCATCCACCGCGTTTGCCTGACCCAGCCTGCAAGACGCAACCGCTCCGACTGTGAAAGGCTGAAGCTGAAACCTAAGGAGGGAGCTGTGCGGCATCCAGCATGGCTTCAGAAAGGTTCGCACCCTCCAGGCAACAGGCAGTCATATTGGCTTTGCCTGAAGGAAACATCAGACATCCAGCAAGATCCAAAACGCAAGCCGGAGCATCGCTTGCAGCAACTCCAATAGTTGCAGCTGTGGGTCTTAGGCTGGCTTTGTCGAGGCGACAGCGTCGAAGAGTTGCTTTCCGGAAGCTGGCATTCTCCATAAAGGCCTCCTGCAGATTGTGGCCTTCGAAGTTCATGGAGTCCAGGCAGACATCCGCCAGCATGGCCCTTCTGAGGCTGCCATTCTTCAGCAGCTGCTTTTGTACTTCGGCGGGAAATTGCTTCGGCTCGGAAGGAAGCACTTTTTGAGCGGCTGCTGCGTTGGAACCGGTGTCTTCAAGAGCAGTCACTTCAACAGGCTCCACTGCCGGAGACGCCTGGGGCGGCACGAAACGTGCAGTCAAGTAGGCCAATACCTGCACCGCCAAATTGATGATCGCCGCCGACGGCGCGTCTGCCTCAGCCGAGCCACGAATGGCGTTCTTTAGTCTGAAAGTGCCCCCCTTGACCTCTCTGAACACCCTAAACCCTAAACCCTATAAACCCTACACCCTAGACCCTAAACCCCTAAATCCCAAACCCTAAAGCTCTCGGATTTCTTAAGGCCCAGTCCTCCAGTGACTGCGGCCGACGCAGAAGGTCTCGGGCCTCCTCGAACTGCTTGCGAGAGACCTCGTCGAGGACATGGACCAATCCGTCTACATCCTCTGGCAGTTGACCTCAGATTAAACTCGATTAAACTTGGGACACAAAAACCGTTTGCATATATTTGCATATCTGATCTTGAACCCTAAACCCTAAACCCTTGCATATCTGATCTTGTTGCACAGCGCTGCCAGAAAGCAGCGTTCCAAAGGCCCCGTTTTCGAGCCATCGGAAGGCAGGAGCACCACCAGAGTTCGCAACGCACGCCGTGTGATGCCGGCGGCTGGCTCAGTCTGTAACTTCGACCTGCCCCGCTGCTATACTTGGAGGTACATGGGTAGGTATAAGTAGGGTTAAAAGTCCCCTAATATGGGCTATAATTATAGTTACCCTACTTATAAACCCTACTACTTATAACTACCCATGAACCTCCAAGTAATCAAGGCCGTCATCAAACAAGCCGTTGCTTGCCAGAGCGTGATACACTCAGGGTACCCAGGTGGGGTAATTTTCGGTGCAAACTGACTAAACCGCGAAAGGATGTAGCAAAAGTTGGTCCGCGAGACGATGCGGACTTTCTGTTGTGACAGCAACACAACAGTTTGGACTTCGGATTCACATTGCGACAAGGACAGGCGCAGCAGAGTCTTCTGATTCTGATCGGTCTGCAAAGTCTGGGGAACGCTTACCTTGCTGGGTTCAGGCCCTCCAATGTCTGCAAGCTCTTGCGCCGCCCAGAAGCCGAGGCTTTGCTGCAGTGCTTGTTCAGGCCAAACAGTATATTTTCTCCACCTTTTTTTCAATTGTGTGAAGCCTTGCTACCTTGGCACTGCCTCTCACTGACAATCCTTCATGCCGGCTCAATACAGCACGCCGACCCGGGTCAGCACTCCCCAAAGTGTATTGATGCCTGGCTGCTGGCTACATCCACCAGCGCTATTGCCTACGCGGTCTTGTGATGTCTGCGCTCAACCCAAGCATGCTACATAGCATTTGCTGGCGATGTATGTTCCAAAAACATGATGCTGTTGCCAGACCATCCTCCTCTTGCTAGTCCGAGTGATACCAGTGACGGTGTGTGAAATTTGCTGCTCTCTTATATTGCTCTCCAGCGACGCTCACTGCCCGAGCACACACCCCTGGATCTGGGGCTCTGCTCTGCATGGACGGCCTGCGCCGGACTTTATCACAATCACTTGGAGGTTCAGGGGTAGTTATAAGTGGGGTTGGAAGTAAGGTAACTGTAATCATAAACCATATTAGGGGACTTATAACCCCACTTATAACTAACCATGAACCTCCAATCAACGAACAACACTTCGATGCCATGCTGAGGCGGCGACCAAAACATAGGACTCGTGCTTCTCACAGAACTTACTCGCTGCTTGCCTAGGCGTGCTCCTCCTTGCTTTCTTTGCTGCTCTTTTCTGTGGGCCTGAGGGGAGGATTCCTCCCCCCACCTGCGCATGTTCGCACCCCTTTTTCGAGTGGAGTGAATGGTAACTGTTAACTACGGGCGTCCCCCACCGGAGAAGAGCAAACTTAAAAACAACAGCGCCATGACGAAAGTACACCATACTAAGCCACTAAGCCTGGGCCTTCCTTACTGGTTGTTCTCGGTCCCTGTTCAAAGTTTACACCGTACGAGAAAAGCTTCAACATGCGTAACATGCCCAAAAGTCACATGCCGACTGTTACTTATGCTCTTCGTGGGGACGCTCGTCTGAAGCTCCTCGAACCGAACGCCTCGCTCCCTCTCTCTCGTTGTTCCCCCTCTCGCTCTCCTCCGGAAGGCCCGCCTCAAGATCCGCAGGCCTCTAGAATCCTGGAGCACGCCGGATAAATCTGCCAGGCTTTCTCGAAGCTCTCTGGAGAGGCGAGGTCGGTGCAGGACTTCCTCCACATTCTGGGTCCTTCAAGTCTCGGGTATTGCCAGCCTTCAACGCCTGTCCACCGCTAGATGCAATGTTACCGTTGGGCGATTAGTAGTTCATGCCACGAAAACCCTCCTCGCCAGGCGCTGCGCAGCGCGAGGCCGGCAAATCCGTAGGCGAGGGCCGCTTGGCGGCGCGGGTGTCCAGTCGCGGTCGGGGCCGCCCCATGCACCTGCATGCAGGTTGAGGCGAGTCGGTTCTGCATCTCAGGATCTCAACGCAGAACTTGTGGCGGAGAGGAGGGTTTAGGGTTTTTTTGACACTCACACTCGGACAAGCCTGGCAAGGTCCACCACGATACTGTCTTCAAGATGCATTAACAGAGACCTCTAAGCAGGTATCACTTGGTTTAGGGTTTAGGGGTTTAGGGTTTAAACCCCCTAAACCCCTAAACCCTAAACCCAGAGCTCCTGTCCAAGGATAGGTCTCGGGTTTGTGGAGCTCCGGCTTCTTCGAGGCCTTTGCCAGTGTCAACCTGATCTCCCAACATGGGGGTTTCCGAAAATTAGGGTACCTTATTTTCGGGTCCTTATAATAAGCCCCTATTATTTAGGGCACTATATTAGGGTCCCCTATTTTCGGAAACTCCCACATCTCGCTCGTGAATGTCTTTACAGCAAAGAACTTGAGGTACTGTGGATGATATAAATCCTGCATTACCTTAAGGACTTAAGGATCCTAAACTGTTTGAATTCTGCTATATTCCTTATTATGGGTAATGCAGGATTTATATTATCGACCGTATCCTTTTGGAACAGCCTCTGCCGGCCTGCTCGAGGCATCTCCGAGCGAGCTGAGCTTCTGCATTGACTCATCGACGGAGGCACGGTCAAATCAGCGGGCCATGGGTGAAACGCTGCTTAGACGAAGAGTCTCTCGCCTCGCCTAGCTCCTATAATATAGGTACTTGCCCCACGTTGCCTCGAGATGCCTTGAGCAATCGTTGCGGCTGCGGCTTCTTGTTTCGCTGCTGGGATGTGGGTAAACGATTACGGCACTGTAGAGACACGACACCCACGAGCACTTCCCTGAGAGCTGTCCGGGGTGATCTTGGCCACGCCGACGCCAGGACCTCTCAGACAAGCAGCACGAAGCAAAGCAGTGCCTGCTAGCAAGCAGACCGATCTTGGTGCCAGGCGATTCGGGAAGTTGGCTGGAACCAGGCCAAGTGGTTTGGGAATCGTCACCTGTCGCGTTGGTGTGGCCAGCAGCCCACTGGCACAGGCCGCTCGTAGAAACTCCCCAGCTTAGTTCAATGTGAATGCCAGGCTGCATCGAAGACGGCACGTTCGCCCTCAATCATCTTTACACGCTTCACCCAGTCCTGCTGCAAATCTCAAGGATCTCAAAACTCCTCTTGCGGAGGCTGCGGACCAGGACCTCGGGGTCAAAGTCCATGTACTCTTGTACTTCGGCATGTCGCACCACTCCTCGGGCCTTTGCGATGTGCTCTCGATGCTCTCGAGACCACGCTTGCAGCACGGACCCCTGCAACCCACAGCAGCCGAGGTGTACTTTTGCAGCCGCGGTGCTGCCCCTTTCTGCACCGCTCGCCTCAACGGATGGGGCTTTGATCGAGCATGCGACAGACAATAATGTAACACAGGCTACGTGCCCGAATCATTACCGCAAATAAGGCCCCCTGACACGACATCCCGCAAGTAGGACTTCAGACGCAAGCATGCAATTGAAATGAGTGCCTGTGGAAATGCACAGAATATGTGTTACGCTGGAGACCCATGTGCTCGATCTAGCGCCGAAATCCAGACCTCAATACGACGGTGCCTGTTGGCTACGATGCCTGCTGCCAAAGCCGTGGCGGCAGCTGCAAGTGCTGACGAACCTTCAGCGGCGAACGGCTGTATCGAACCACCGGTCCTCTAGCCTGGATGTTTGCAGCAATGCTTGGAGGTTCATGGGTAG